TGGCGTGTTCGACAATTCGCATCTTGAGAAGCCTGCCAGTTTTTCCGACGTAGTTGCTTTGCCCGCTACTGCACTAGATCCTGTAGACAATTCCCGATGTTTCTTGCAATGACAGGGGGTCTATTGATTTCATGATTTGATGCCTTATGGTTGCACACACGAATTGTTTCTGCTACTGTTGTGTGAGTATGTCTCTGAAGATGAATCCTCGACGGATTTCGAAACGTCAGGCAAGTAAACATAGTGTCCCAGTGATCGAGTTATCTTCTCTTTCTCAATTACTTCTTGGGACTCGCATGTTTGCTTGTATTAACACCACACACTCTCCTCACATATTTTACAACACAAAATCTCTCTCATCACATCTTACACAACACACACACACACTCTCACTCTTACACAACACACATTCTCGGACAAAGTCAACACTAACCCTGTATTCGCTAGCGGCCACTGCTGCCTGAGACAGAAATTCAGGATTCTCTACACAATAGATTCCTCCTTCTGGTGACTTCTGCCTTCTACGAAAAATGTGTGATTTGATTTGATGATTGTAATGATCTGAGTATAAAAAACTATATTGCAAGAGGTTAAGTAAGTTATACCCCAGCAACTGCGACCCTCAGACCATGGTTTCTAAGGAGAGATGAAGTCGGTTGATGCCAAAGGTATAAGAATGGTTAATTCTGGATAGTGAAGAATGAAGAATAAGAAGGAATAAGTTTAACTTCGGAGCACACGACCAGTTAGGGGGCTAGCAGGGTCCTTAGTGGAAATTAAGCTGCCAGCGTGAGCGGTCCTTGTCCGGGTCGGCCTTGGAAGTTATTGGCAGGTCAGACAGCATCGACCTAGACGTGCATGCGCTTTGCGGTATCTGTGATTGGCTGTTCAAGAGGCCACCTACAGTGCAGGCGCACGCGTTAGCAGCGGTGGGCCTTGGCGCATATCTGCCTGTGTGGAGTGAGTCATCACAACTACATTTCTTCGAACGTTTCATTAGACGGAGCACCTCTACGACAGGTGCGAGATAGCTGACTAACACCCGACCTCTACGTACTTACTTCTTCTTCTTTTTCTTCTTCATTCAGAGAAGTTAGTCAATCGGACAGGTGACTGCGTAAAGTTTTTCGTCAGTTATACCCATTTGCTGGTTACCTACACCCAGGTCATCTGCAGTTACCTGGGTGCAGACCCTGAACTGGACGTGGATGGCATCTGTCCGAACCTCTGTCAGGTGCGAGACAAGCCCCTATGGGAGATGAATGTGGTCCGTAACTCCACCGAAGGCCGAGCCCAACTTCAACTACCGAGTGCGCACGAGGCAGTCGATGTCTGCGCTCAGATTCCGTTTGCGGTGCCGGGCACTTGCAAACTGCGTGACAAAGGCGTTTTTGACCATGAATTCACGTAAGCACTTTTCGATTATGGATAATTGTAATGCTACTCACATTATTATTTTTTAGTAACATTTTAAATTATTATAGGACATGTTACCGTCAAGATAGGGGCTTCCAGGAAGGCCCTTTCTGGCTAATTAGCCACCATCAGCTGAAGATAGTCTGACCTAGTGTAGCAGCGGAAATTGCCGTCACACTCGACTTTTGGACCGGCGAGGCTGCTAGTAAGGGGCCAGTGCCAATGATTGTGTGCAATTGTGACTTCAATTTTGCTCTCATAGTAGAAAGAGGCCTTTGAACACTCCTTGATGATTGGAGAACGAGTTCCCAGAAGACACGTGCAATTCTTGATTATACCTGGGATTCAGGTTTTTGCTTGCCATGACCCAATGGCGAAAAGTTTTTAAACTCTCCCAAGTTTTAAAAGACAGTATTCATGGTGACCTGCTGCTGCGGATTGAATGAGGAAAATCAGCAAAAATTTGGGCTTAACTACGTTGCTCCTTAATCGTGAATGTGTCGTCTTCGTCAGATTAAAATTGATCGCCTTGAATCACATTTGCATACGAAGGAGATGAATAGTTAGGCTTTTAGCTGTACGT